GGGGAGAGGCAGAGATGCGAGGGCGACCGAGGCTAACCCGGCTGCCTCTTCGGCGTGCACAGTGAGGGAGACAGAGAGGAGAAAGAGAGAGAGAGAGAGAGAGAGGAAAACGCGAGATGTCCCCCTGGACGACCATGGTATGGAGAGAGAATTGTACCCGAGAGCCCGCGGCTGGCCGCACGTCGGACGCACCCGGTCGCTCGAATCCGCGATCAGCTGGAGAACGCGGGGTGTATCATGTGTCTCTCACGCGATTCCCGGGTGGGCTTCCCCCGCCCAAGGCTCGGACCTTTGTGCGCGCGAATCAGCGCCTCCTCGGTTCATGTGTCATCGCGATTCTTTCGCGCGCCAACAAAAAAAGCACGTCACGGCTACAATGGGCGAGTTTCTTTCTTTTATCATCTGGGACCTGAGGGTGACTCTCGTCCCGGATCAGGCAGAGGCGAACGCGAATCGCTTCACTGTTGCCCGAGGAAGCCGAGGGACAAGCGAGAGAGAGTGTCCCTCGGCGGCCGTTCCTCCGGGCAGGCGTGCGCGCGCGCGCGTTCGCCTCTACCCCTTTCGTTCTCGTCGCCGGGAACGCTCTCGCGTGTTTCCGCGACAGAGAATAACTCACGAGAGAAAAAAAAAAGATCTACGCGCTGCGAACAACGTGGCGCAACTCCGGTCCTAAAGGTCGCGAACTCGGCGTCTCGTCACGGGGACTAAATTCGACGAAAGATCAACAAACGTGCGTGGAGGGATGTACGGAATGCATAAAAGCGGTAACCAAAAGGTGTACGAGAGAGCTTTTCAAGTGAAAATTTCAAAAATTATTTTAAAAAAACCAATAGAAAGAAGACGCGTTTTCCGCGGAGCAGTGGAGTCTAAATGGAGATAAACAAAAATGAACAAAAATGCAAGGACCCGCGAGACTCCGATCGCGATGGCTCGAGGCGTGATTTTTCTTTTCAACTACGGCCCCTCTTTCTTTTCTCCGAGCGACTCGGTACGAGAAACTAGATTCAAGGCAACAAGTCTCTGACGGTGAAAAAAAACGACCTTCGCTATCAATGCGAGCATCTGTCCAATGTATCTTTCTCTCGGAGTGTGTCGCGCGCGACGCGCGACACACTCGCGAGACATACGCGTGAGAAGAAAAGCCGTGGCAGAACGCATTGCCGTCTGCCGTGACACGAGGTGGCGGGAAAAAAAAACCCCAGAGAGCTCTCGCGATTCTACGGGCACCTGGCGCGTAAAGGACACCGCGAAAAGAATCACCGTCGAGTATCACGTCAGGAACCGCGCGATCGCGAGTACGACTCCAAGATTTAGCAACGCTAGCATTGACAGAGAGGCCGCTCCTCTCTCTCCGAAGTTACCTTGTCTCCCACGTTGGATCGCCCCTGGCGGGGCGGTCGTGTATCCTAAAAGATGGCGAAAAAAAAACCCGATCGCGTCTGAGAAGAGCCTACCCCCTCCTGCCTGAACTAAACTCTGATTAAAAATAATCTCTGATAAAAAAAAACAACTATCTGTGTCGCGCTACTCTTGTCTCTCTCTCTCGACAAGTCTCTCCGCAGATTATCTCTCTCTTCGTAGCCTCTGCGCTCCGAAGTCGAAGGGCGAGGAAATTCAACGCTTCCGCCGTACGAAATCTCGCGCGAGTCTTACGTCACTCAAACTCGCGAAAACCGCGACGGCAATGCCGGGACGTCGTTTCTAGGCTATCGAATCGCCCTAGAACGCTCTCTCCGGTCGCGAGAAACGCCGGGCAGCAACGATGCGCAACGGTTTCCGGCTCGGCCATCTGGAGAGGCCGGCATCCGGCTGCATCTGCCGGTCTCAATGCGCAGCTGTCGCCGCACATTAGCAGATGCAGGCGAGGGGCTCACAGCTGGCCCGGTCGCCTCGACGAGAGACCCGAACCGGGATAGACTTCGTTACTTTCTTTCACGAGCGGACGAGGAAGAAATTCGCCCGAGCTACTCCGAATTACCGCTCGTTACGTACGCGAGCGCGAAGACCGATGCTGCCGTCGTAGCGATTCGTTATCGGCGTGTCAGTTATTATTGATAAAACAACGTCGCTCGCTATTATCTCGATAAGAAACCGAAGTCGGTCTCTTTTCGTCGTTATATAAACGCACATAATCGCCTCAATACCGTTCAACGCGCCTATCCACGAGCCGGCGATAAATCTGGGTCATCAGCAAGCCACCGCGGGACTTCATATTCACTTTCTCATTACGGTCTTATCTAGTCGTTAAAACGCTCGTTCCCGCTGAATCGTTCAACGAGAGATTATCCTCCGACAATCCCGATTTCTCGCCCTCCGATAACCGTAGAGAATTATGTTCGCGCAAGTTTTTCCCCAAGTGCCTCCTCGAAAATATAACCGCGCGATCTCACCGCGACTCTCTATCCAGCGCAAAATCGCGCAGCGACGAAGGTCGACGTTTCACGAATCTTCTCCCGCTCGCTTACTCGCCCGTCTCTCTTTTTCGAGAGTCATCTACCACGCACGCGTTCGTCCCAAGGTCAGCGAGTGTTCGCGTGGGAATGCCTCGACCAGGCGGCGAGTGTACGGGCCTATTATGCTATACAAACATGATTAACCGTATTTCCCATGTCCGCTCCGAGCGGACTGGATCGCGACGAGCTTCGCGGCGGAGAACCGAGCTCGAAAGTTCCACGCTCGGCTTCCCGGATAATCGAAGCCGTCTTGCGTCCGTTCCGCAATTGAACGTAACGCGAGTACAAGTAGGTCATCTGATGGTTAGACGACTGGATGATTGAAACGGCACACGAACTACTTGAAGAGATCGGATCGAGTCTGACGACAAGTAGGGCAGAGATTTGCGTAATCTCCGAAGACGCTCCGGCGTCGAACTCGCCTGAAAGTAGTCCGTCAACGTTCTCCGTAGACGAGGATCACGCGGTGCGTAGCCGTTAAATATATCGGGGGGGGGGGGGGGATGACCCCGAGGACTCGGCGAGCATCGCTTGGAAATTCGTGCGATGACGCCACTCGGGAGTCGAGTAGCCGCGCGTTGAACGGGAACGGCTCTGCCTCGAAGCGGTAGAGGCGAGGATCAGCGAAAAACGATCGTAGTCGAAGGTGACGTGCGTCGCCCGCGGCTGTGTACGCGTCGGTGTCGAATTTCTATGAAAGGCACGTAACGCCGATTGGAGAACCAAGGCGAGATAGACCGCTGACTCGAGCCCCGTTATGTTCCCTGCCCGCCGGGAAACGCTCTCGCCTTGGCTTCGATTTCCCATAGCAACAGGGAAACAACGCTATCGGATAACGTCCCGAAGTTTCCTTCGTTCGCTCAGCCGCCGGGGCTAATGTTACGACTTCTGCGCCGCGAACCGGAATGGGCAAGGGCGAGTGTGACGTTTCGCGTTTCCGCGCCGAAACCTGGTAACGTCGTTTCCATGTGAAATAATCGCGTGTCGAAATTCTCATCGTCCGACTAGTCACGCGACGCGTTATTCAACTCCCTGGAAGCGCACGAACGTGTACGAGGTGCGAACCGGTTTCGAGGATAGGAAGAGAGAGACACACAGAGAGTCCATCGAGAGAGACCTGCTCGGATCCTACCTGCTGATCTTTACGCTTACGTGCTTCGAAGCTATCGGTGACGCACACAAGTTTCCGCGTGTGTCTTTACGCTATCCCTGCTAACTTTAGATTTCCACAACGGCAAGACGTGGCGTTTGAAAGACGAGACGTTTCACCCGACAAACATCGGCGATTTTGAAGAGCAATCGACAAGTCCACGTTTTACTATTTATACCGACTCGACGCAGAGAACTGTAATAATCTCTCGATTCTCGCCACTTCTTATCACGAGATACGGTGGTGTCTCGCGCCAAGTATAGGCGTAGCTAGAACCGCGCGCGCGCGCGAGATCGACCGTGTGTAGTTTACGCGAGTCGACAGGCCCTCGGATTTTCGGTTCTCAACAACGGTTGATCCGACGAACTTCTAAGTTCGCTCAATCGCGATAGCTTAGACTCGATTTGCGTGATAAAAGTGTTCTTACTTTTCTCTTGGCCACGTCGCGTTTGCGCGAAAATAATAGAAAATCTCGCGATCGGAGGGGGGGCAGTTGTTTACCACAATCCGCCGTTAGGTACCGTTACTGTCATTTTGCGCGAAGCTATCACCGAGGATAAGATACAACTGGCTATATATCGTGCTGCTTTACGGCGCGAAACTGACACGAGATATTTGGATCTCGTGTTGCTCCCCTGGTCGGTTGCGGGCTGTCCTCCTCGCGCTGTCGTACTCCTTTCGGAGGAGAGAGAGGCCGCAGCGTCGCGCGTCGCGAGGCCAACGAAGACGAGACGACGGGGAACGAATGTCGTGAAGCGATTATAGGAAACAGATTGCGGCTGGCGCGACGAAGGAGGCGCGCGCGTGCGCGCCCGCGATCGGCTCTCGTCTTACGTCAAGTCTCGCGGCGTCGCGACGCCACGCTAAGAAAGGAAACAAAAGATAGAAAGAGATACACAAAGAACTTAAGAGTTTAACGGAAAGCTCTACATGCTCTGGTGGAAAATGAAAAAAAAAAGCTCTTTCAGAGACCGTGCTACACTTGAACGCACCGGAATCTAGGTTGAACCACGTTATCGACAACGAAAGAAAAAGAAGCTCCGCCCCGCCTGCGCAATAGGCACATAATAATTACACGCGCACGCGTGTACACGTCATCGAAGCTCTTATCAACGTACTCGCGCTCGTGAATGGGCCATTGTCCGTCGTGTCAACGTCGCGAGAAGATGCGTATCATTCGCTTCCACTTGGAAATTTTCCACGTTCGCGGGGCCCACTCCAACGCGAGTACGCGGCTGCTTCCCGCTCCGCTACGGTCATGAATCCTGGGCATTTGCGAAACCTGCGCTTCAGGCCGCGGAAACGGCTGTACGGGGAGGCCGGCGAGTTGGGCAAATTACGAGTGCCTATTGTTACGGGGGCCGGAGACGGATGGAAAATGATGAGGATGAGCCTACCTTGTGAGTCGCGATGAGCCTGTGCGGCCTCCTGAGCTGCTAGGAAAACCTCATCCGTCGTCCCGGTAGCTCCTGCCGAGCCCACAACGCCCCCCGCGTTACTTCGGTCACCGGTAACGTGCCATGAGCCAAGACCTGCTAAAATAAACCATCGCCCGGTAAATTTCCATGTGACGCTCGCGCGGCTCCTCGCGGGAACCGTGTGCCGTCGAAAGGAGAGACTCGTCGCGCCTCGAATTACCAATTAAATTGAAACAGATATCGGGACTGATCTCGCGCGAATCGCGAGGAATCCTCGCTTTCAGGGAACTGACTCCGCGATCGGCGCGTCAAGCGAGAATAAAAACATCGTTTTAGGAATGAAGAGGGGTACTTTATTCATAAACTCTTCGAACGGGGAACAAAAATATTGGGACACATGTATGTATATGTAAGACCGACCAAGAAATTACGCAGCGAAACACAGGGCTTCACACGATCGGAAGGACTCCCTTGTACAGCGGGAGTGCGTGAAATACATTCATATTATACACGATATATCCCTAGTCATTCCTCTATATTCGTGGCTCGTTACAGCAAGTAATATTTGGCAAGTTACGTGAAATACACCATAACACATCCGCCCCGCAGATCGTGCTCGCACACTCGTTCGCGTGCGGAACAGCCGCGCGAAAACTCTCTTACCCCGGTTACCCCTCGCCGGCGTCGCTCGACTCCGAACGTAGTTCAATTCATCCTTTGTCTCGTTTTAAGGGAACGATTGGAGGGAGACAACGGACGATTGGCACCAAGGTCGAAGCCGAACGACGCCGGAGGGAACCGGCGTCAAACGACCCAGCTTAAATAGTCTACACGTAACACTTAAGAAACAAAGAAATAATACTGACGGTTTCAGAGTAACTTTAAGTTGGAATACTTTGTACATCGACTCGCGCCGTACTTGGCGCACGTGCGTCACTCGAGTATCGTTAAACGACTAGTCTGTAAGTGATTCTTGTCGGAGGTTCGCCGGGTAAAGTGAACAACATCAAAGTGCGAACGACGGAACAAGTCTCCTTCGGCAGCGCCGTGCAAGAACCGTGTTCTCTAAAGTGAACGATCTAAGAACAGACGGGACCCAAAACAAAGACTAGAATAGGGCTCTCCATTTGAAACAGAAACTGCAACTAGGCGTGATATCGGCGTTGCTATTAACGACCGTCGTTGATCGGGCTCGACGTTGAAAGAACGGTGCGTGGTACGGCTACAGTATCGGCGCATATTTCGCACGCGCACACTAAGTCTGTCCAGGCTGGACCGGGGTACTAGGGGGCTGCTGTCTCCATCTCCTCCTGACGACGTTCAATTTTTTCAAATAGAACTGCAGCGTTGAGCGATTAATGCCGTACATCTCGGACGCCTGAGTGGTGCTAACCCCCTGTTGCAATATCGCCTCCAGGGACATTTTAACCGAGTCTAAGCTATACTTTCTGCCCTGCTTGTTCGCCAGCGATTTAAGCAACGCGCCTACGTCAACGTCCGGGCGCGGCCGCCTCATGTTTGGCACTTTTTTACATTCGAGGAAATGGGAGGCCCATGGGGCACCGCCGCCACCGCCACCGTTACCACGACCGCCACCGTCACCACTACCCAAATTCCCTCTCGACCGAGACCGCGCTCCCGCCCCCCCACCTGCAACGAGGAAACCCAAGCTAGTGTCGGCCAATTTGTTACACGTCCCGTGTTCCAACAGATAACAAACAAAACAACGAAACGGAGACTGCGCGACACCGAGACTACTCGTTCAACCCGCGCAAGCCCTGCCTACTTGCGATTCAGCTTGAGAAAATTCATCACCGCGGCCCGGCAATACTCCCTCCCGCGAGACTCCCCCGTGTTCAAGAATCACTGTCCAATCGTGTACAGACGTCAAGCTCCGCTTCGGTCCAAAGAAACTTTTTGGACCGAAGATTCGCTACTGTCGACTCTTTCCAGAGCGTATATAATTTTATGCAAAATGCAAATTGGTACTCGCTATATGCATAGCCTTCGTATCATCTTGCATGCGGGGAGCGATGCGCAAGTTCAAATGTACTATTACAATTCGCATTGCCTCTAAGTGAGAAATAAACGCCCTGCGTCTCGCTACGACAAAACCAAAAAGAAAATCATAAGTGACGAATAATACTTGAAACTTACCGGGGTGCTGAGCGGGGTCATGGGACGGTCCAGCTCGGTTGTTGTCCTGTTCCATATCATTAAGATCGTTCATATCTTCGTCCAGCGTCAGGTCTTCGACGCCCTCCTCAGCATCCTCAAGGTATTCAGACTTTGGCTCGATGAGATTATCGTTTGGCTCGGGTTTTTCGAGTGGCAGCTGGCAGGAGACATTAACACGCGTTAGAAATGTCGCAAGAGCCTCTCTTTACGCAAGAGAACGTTAATCCAATAAGATAACATTGTCTCGAACTGTTTCCACGCTGCAGCGGTAAGGAAAAGATATAACCAAGGCAGCAGGATAGAGAACGATTTTTCTTTACCAACGAAGCGAAAGAAACAGCGCTTTCGGCGACAGCCTCTACTATACCGTTGGCAACGTAAACAAGGAAAGTAAATAGAAAAAAACCCCCCACGGAAGAATTCGCCGAACGCATTTTTACCTGTAGCATCTCGTCGGCGGGTTTCGTCAATTGCGTCATTAAAGCTGACCTGCCGAGAGAGTCTGTCGTGTCTGCGTGTACCTTCTCGTCTGCCACTGGCGCGATACCAAGCGCCGGTACACCCATTTGCTGAGGCATGTCGCTGGAATTCGATGCGTCCTGGTTCTCTATCGTACTGTCTTCGGTTAGACTTCTTCTTCGAAACCTCTTTCTTTTTCTTGATGTTGGACTTTGCGAACCTTCCCTGTGGGCGAGAAGAGGAAGGTACGTCAGCGATAATTTTTTTTTTCCCAAGTCGGTTGTACAAACGTTAATGGGATTGCTCCACCGCGGAGCCACTCACCTCGAGGACAGGCCTTTCGACACCTGAGGACTAGCCGAATCCTCTGGCATATCCCCCACGGAACTTTGCGCCAAACTCTGCCTAGGAACTTTGTTCTTTTCTATCGTCAGACCGGAAGACGCGTGTGGAATGTCTAACGACGGTGCTGTGGGTTGTGAGACGGACTTCTGTGGCCTGGACTCCGTCTTACTACTGCCAGCAGTTTTACTTTCCGAAAGGCCCTTAATTTGCAGAGACTCAGCGGCTTTGAGGAGTGCTGCCAATTGGTCTTGGGAAATGTTTACTTCCCCTCTGTACATATAATCCATCATTGCCTTAAGTTCTTTGAATTTAACATCTTTGAGTATGAAGACTGGATGCTTGTCGTAGTGTTCGCTGAGGAGGCACTGCAACATAAAAGACACGCAATCCCTTCAGACAAACTGCCGCGGTATCACAATTATACGATACAAGCGATTAGCTTTCCTCGATTTATGCTAAACGCGGATGGCTTACTTCCTGCGCCTCGCGACACACGAGTGCGCCGCGAAAAGCGCGTTAAAATATGAATATTACTCGCGAGAGGAACGCGTGGACGGAATTATTTATTCAGCGTCGCCGATCTCTCGCGCGTCCCGTGCCGTAGCCGAGAGCGCGAAGCGCCCGCATCTGGGGCGAGCTAAGATCTACGCGCGCACGCATATAGAAATATCGCTAGCGTGTTATTAATTTTCATAGAGCAGCATTCAATTATTGCGACAGCCGCTCTCGGCATCCCCACCCATATTAGGGTAAAATCCCAGGGCAAGTGCCCTGGAAATCAGCCATCTTGCTTTCCTTGTATTGATCAAGAGGACCTAGGAGGGGGGGCTTCAGGCTCTGGCCCCCCCACTCTCCCCCACCGCACCCTCCTACACTCCTGCCCAGGCAACGTTCAACAAGCACGGCCATCTTGTTTCAACTTGAGATCCCCCCCCTTCTGTACCTCGCTTCTCAACAACCTATCTCGCTCCCTCCCGACGTGTTTCGTATTGATCTAACCCGACTGAACCGACTGGACAAAGGAGCGCGGGGGGGGGGGGGGGAGAGCTTCAACGGCACGCAATTCGTTACGTTCCCCAAGTGCTCTCCTAGATGCAAATTCTCGTAATTTTCACTCGTGTTGGCGCGCCAGCGAGTAACTGACGACCAACAGAATTTATTACCAGATTATCGATAAAATTGTGTCAACGTCGTTCTTTAAATTGCCGCAGTTACACGCCTCTCTACTTTCAAACGCGGGCAACGTTACTCCACAAATTTATTACCGCGGTAAAAGGGGGGGAGAAAAAACTTGCGCCCGGTTGTACCGATCGACAAATTCAGCGGAGGCGCAGAGGGTACGACGATTCGCGCGGTCGGTGTCTCGAAGCGAGGGGAACAAAAAAAATCGCTTCGCGGCGCATTCGGGCGGTCAAGTAAAGACAAAACGTCTGGCTCACCTCAAAGTATGGACTGCACGCGGAGAGGACTACTTTGTGGGCCTTGAGAGTCTTCCCCTCCGCCGCCAAGGTGCAGTCGACCAGCGTCCCGCTTTCGAGGAGTGTGTCGAAGTTTTGTATGAGCGTACTTTGGTGGTTGTTCCACCTGAGACAGAACTGCTGGTCGTCCTCCATGGTAGTTCTGGCTTCGTTTCCTCGTTCCTGCACAGATGAGAAAGAGCGTGGATGAGCAAAGCGGACCCGGGGGGGTCACGAGCGTAGCCGGGACGGGCGTGAAACCGGATAACGTACGAGTGCGGAACCGTCGTCGTCGCCGTCGCTCTCTCTCGTTCTCGCGCCGTCTCTTACCGCGCTATCGGTCGACCGAACCGACCCGACGCTATCTCGTCCTCCCGCGACCGATTATTATCGCGCACATCGAGCCGCACGACGTACCCGCGAAAGTACGTCCTCTCGACCTGCGAACCGCCCGGATAGTCTCTCACGTTCCCGTCTCCACCGTCCCTTTCCCACTCTCTCCCTCTTTCGCACGCAGCCCTCGCGGGAGGACGACGGAGGCGAAAGCTCCGCAACGAAGCGCCGAAGCTTCCAAAATGGCCGTGCGAGCGATGCGTCGGCCAGATCGCTCTTCTGGCCTTTTCCTTTGTGCGTGTCTGGTAACGGTAATGGACCGCCTTGGTGGGGATGGTGCAGGAGGACGCGCAAGCACCGCGCACGCGCAGCTGCAACGTCCGGGCTGCGCGCACGGCTTGCGCAACGAGCGCCGCGGAGGCCCCTGGGACTCAGGGGCGGCTGCTGCTCCCGCGGCCGCCGCTGGACCCCCCTCCAGACCAGGTTTTCTCACCGCGACCGGATTTTCGTATCGGATTCTCGCCGCGATAGATAATCGCGAGGTAGACGGCGCGGCGAAGACGAAGACCCCGCGACGAGAGCCGCGCGACGGAGGCAGAAAAGTCGACGGAGCGAAAAACTCAACGTGACGCGACGCTCTCGGAGGAGCTCGCTCACTGCGACGAGCGGCCGAGCCGATCGCGGCGACCCGCGGCCCACATCGTGCGCGTTTCGCGTCCAGCCGGGACACACGGCTCTAACCCGATTTACGTCAGCGCGCGATTTACATTGGCGGCGCGCAATAAATACGGAAAATCGATCACGCGGCTCAGCGACCGCCGACGTAGGCGGGGAACGAACGCCGCGCGAGGGTGGGGGGCGAGGGGGAGAAGAGGAGGAGGAGGAGGGTTACCGTACACGCAGCAGGACTGGAGCGCGGTGCGCAGTCGCGAGGTGCTGCACGAAGACGGAAAGATGGAAAATAAAAAGAGAGAGAGAGAGAGAGAACGACAGAGTCGTTCCTCGGCCTGCGCGCGATTGCGTAATCTATTTATATTGTTATCTCGCGCGCGCGGGCGAACGCGTTACGTCAGGCGGTGCCGAGCGGCGGCGTATGCGCGCAAGAAATAAAAACAAATTGTTGACAGATAATCCTTCCCGAGCGCATACCGTGCGAGCGCGCGCGCGCGCGCACGCGCCAGGGACGTGAGAAGAAAAAAGCGCCGGCGGGAGGGGAGGGACCGCTTCGCGGCGACGCGAGAGCCGCCTCCCCGCCCCGCGAAGGGAGCTGGAAACCGCGAGAGCCGAAGAGAGCGGAATACGTGGAACGCAATATGGCGGTCGGCGAGGTCGGGCCCGGGACAAAATGGCGGCGGGTGGAAAGCTCGCGGGCGGAAAACCGCGGCGCGATCGATCCGATCCCGCGACGCGACGCGCTGGCGCGCGCGCGCGCGCGCGCCCCGACCGAATTCCCCCGCGCTCGTGCGTCGCGTCTGGACAATGGCACTGAAATCGCAAACGCCACGCCACGGCGCGCGGGAAATTGCCATCCTCGCGGCGGCGGAGGAGGCAACGTTACCGCGGGTACGCGACGCGGCGTCTCGCCAACGGCCCGAAAACACTCGCCATCTCACGGACCCGCCCGCCGCGCCATGTCGCCCGCCGATACGCGACGCGATCCCTCCCGTCGCCCGCGGTCGGGCGACGCCGTCACGCGCGGAAATACGTGTGCGACGCGTATCACTCACCTAATAAGGGAGATATAAAACAATCTAATATCACAGCAATGGAGTCGGTGAAAAGTGTAAAACAGCGTGGAGCGTCCAGGCCCGGCGTCCGCCTCGTGCGCTGCCCTTTTCAACAATGGCGTGGCTCAACGCCTTTCAGCTCGGCCGCCGCGGATCGCCGCGGGAGGGCGCAGACGTGCCCGCGGAGCCGCCGGCGCGGCGGCGCGGCGTCCCGGTGCGAGCAAGAAGGAAAAACAGGAAAACGGCCGGCGCATGCGCGCCGCACGGAAATTCGTTACTGCGACGTGATTGAGAATAGCACCGACGCCGCCGAGGCCGAATTACGGAGCGGCGTCAAGATGGTCGCGGCGGCAACGGCGGAGGCGGCGGTGGCTTCGTTTCTCAGCGAGCATCTCTCCCCCCTCCCCGCCCCGGGAGAATTCGCTTCCCGCGAGCCCGCGGAAGGACGGTTCCTCCTCCTCCCGCTCGGCCGCCGAGAAGAAAACGAACCCGTCGCGACGTCGACCCGTATCGATTCCCAATGCCGTGCTTTGCCGCGGCACCGAGCTTCCCCGCGACGGCCCCGACTTGGTCGGGGAGCGCGACGCGGATCTTAGAAACTCGCCCGAGGCAGCTTCAGGAAATGGGGGATCGCACGATTCGATACCCGAGAGAACTCCATTTCCCGAATCTCGCACGCGCTTACGTGCCCAACTGCCGCGCGCTGTATCTTGACGGCGCGGGGCCCAGGCTGGTATTACATTTGTCGTACGCCAAAATCTTTTTTAGGCGAGTCGATTGGCCGCAGGATAGTAAAATTCTCTAGTATCTAGAAATTTTCTACTCGGTAGCCAATCAACGCGCTTGAAAAATTTGTCGCGCGCCGAATCTTTTGAGCGAGTCGATTGGCCGCGGGATAGCAAAATTCTCGAGTATCCAGAAATTCTCTATTCAGCAGCCAATCAACGCGCTTGAAAAATTTGCCGGTGACAAATGTAATATTAGCCTCGAGCTGGTGTTAATTTGCCGTACGCCAAATCTTTTAAGCGAGTCGATCGGCTGCAGTAAAATTTGTCGTGTATCTAGAAACTTTCTATTCAGCAGCCAATCAACGCGCTTGAAAAATTTGTCGGTGGCAAATGTAATATTAGCCTTAGGCTGGTATTAGTTTGCTACCGCCAAATGTTTCAAGCGTATCGATTAGCCGCAGGATAGAAAATTTTTCGAGTATCTAGAAATGTTCTAGCTTGTAGCCAATCAACGCGCTTAAAAAGTTTCTGTAAATAGTACGCTTGGGCCTAATCTACACAATGTGCTCTCTGCGTCCAGAAACATTTTGTAATCCATAAATACGTTTAAAAAATTCGCGCAGGTTGATAAATTGTACGTTTCCTGATAGCACAAGTCTCAGTTATGTCTCAGTTATGTTGCAGACATTGAAACGTCTTTGCAACATAACTACAACATAACTGAGATTTATGTGCTATCAGGGTTGCATAATCGTACACTGTCAATCAACTTTTTTAAGCGTTTCGATCTGTTTATACAAATAGAATGTTTCTAGACGCCGAAAGCACACTGTAGATCAGGCTTCAGGGCACTGTTACGTTTGTCGTACAAGTTTTTCAAGCGCGTTGATTGGTCGCACGATACAGAATCCCCAGATGCTCGACAAGTTTACTACAGTGGAACCAAACGACGCGCCTGAAGAATGTAACACCAGCGTTCGTGAAAAAAAGGAAAAAAAAAGAGGAAGAGAGCCGTGTCGTTCGATCCCCGCGTATCTACTATTTCCGCGAAAAGCGAGAACTAATTGTATATTTACAACAATCGCGATATCAACGAGAGAAATCGGCGAGTTGGCAACGTATTACGGTTCTATAAATACTATAATTGATTGGCGATTACGATCGGAAATAAGTGTAGCGCGGCGATGAAAAAAAAACACGAATTAAAAGTCAATTACGCGACCTATGCGAGTGCGCTCCTGTGGCTTTTTTTTTTAATCTCGACTGTGCTAATCACGGGGAGACCAGAATGCGAGAGAACGTTTCTAAAAAAAAAAAACGATTTCAACGTAAGCGGATTCTTACGTTTTGCATTTACTCCTCCACAAAGCTGAATATTGCACGTTGAAGGACAACCGGCGTAAGAATGTCGCGCGCTCGGGGGAAGGGGGGGGGGGGGGGACAGGAAAAAATTGTATTTCGAAAATTGCACGTCGTTCCGCGCGACCGCATCCCAATCGACGTTCGCCGTTTGTTATCCCTCGCCCGTTGTTACCGCACAGCTCGATTCTCCCCATTACGTCGCGATTGCGCCTCGCCGTCGTTGTTTATTTTATTACGCGTTCGATCCGACGGGTAAATAAAGCCGGGACGGGATCCGATCGTATAAATTCTCGTGCGTTGACTGGAATGCCAATAAAAGCCGTTTAATTGCGGTAATAAAGCGGACGGAAACCGCTAGCGTGTTACCGGGACCGTCGACACCGCGCGCCCTTTTGTCCTCGGCACGGCGTTACGTCCCTTTACGTAATCTCGGTCGAGGAGACGACGATCCTCGTAGCCAATCCGCGCTCATCGCCGCTCGGTCGTCGCGAGGCGACGTCGGGCACGCGAGAAAAGTCGCTCGACCGAAACGACCTGGGGGTCAATTCTGTATATTACGCCATAGTGAAAATGCTAAAAGCTTCTTCTAACTCGCAGGCCTTGCGATCAATTCTGTATCTCACGATATAGCGAAAACTCCAAAAGTAAGCGGCTTCTTCCCTTGAACGGACAATTGAAGATAGAGTCGCTCACTTTTTAGCATCTTCGATGCAAAATTGACGCCATGGAGGTCAATTCTGTACCAAAACTGTAGCGAAAACTCCAAAAGTAAGCGGCTTCTTCCCTTCAGGGACAATTTAAGATAGAGTCGCTCACTTTTTAGCATCTTCGATGCAAAATTGACGCCATGGCGGTCAATTCTGTACCTAAACTGTAGCGAAAACTTTAAAAGTAAGCGGCTTCTTCCCTTTAAGGGACAATTTAAGATAGAATCGCTAACTTTTTAGCATCTTCGATGCAAAATTGACGCCACGGCGGTCAATTCTGTATCTAAACTATAGCGAAAACGCCAAAAGTGAGCGACTTCTTCCCTTGAAGGGACAATTTAGGATAGAGTCGCTCGCTTCTTTTTCACCACCTTCCTTGCATTTTCGACATGGAGTCGACACCCCCCTCGCCCCGTCTACGCCGAATCGAGTCGACGGGCGAGAAACCGCGGGGCCGAGTTGATCGATTCTCGCGGCAATTGCGCGCCTGGCGTCTGGAAATCTCACGTCGCGGGACGCCGCGTCATGGCGGACGTCGCCGCGCTTTTCTTCACTCCCGACGCCCGTAGCAGCGTCATGGCCGACGCGCTTTCCCGAACCTCGCATAACCGCGACCTCGATCACTC